GCCTCATTTTCCCTGGTTCCTCCCTCTTCCTGCAGCCCTCCAAGGAACTTCCCATTCTATTCTAGACTTCCCACCCCTCCACTAGAACCGCAAAATCAGATTTTATGGAAACCTTATAAGACAAGAGAGGTGGGGACATAAATCAAGTGTTCCACATTGTTGTTGCTAGTCATCAAGTCAACCTTGATTTGTGGGGACCCACTGAATGAGAAATCTCCATGACCTGCAGTCAACAACAAGTCCACAGATTCAAGGCCATGGATTTAATAATCTGTAGCATGGTTGTCCTTTTTTCCTACTGCTTTCCAATTTGCAAACACTAGTGTCTTTGTGTTATTGAAGATTTCATGGCTGGAATCACTGGGTTGCAAAATCACTGGGTTTGACCTACCTACCAACAAAAGATCCCCTAGACAGGAAGCAGCCAAGCCTTGAAGCTGCAAGGCTTCACACTTCACATTCACACTTGCCTCAAACAGACAAGAGTTCTTTCTCCTACCCTGGACATTCCACAGATATATAAACCTCCCTTGCCTAGTTTCCAATATACCTCACAACCTCTGAGGATGCCTGCCATAGAAGTGGGCAAAGCATCAGGAGAGAATGCTTCTGGAACATAGGTATATAGCCCGGAAAACTCACAGCAACCCAATATTGTCTTTTCTGCTAAGACAAAAGTCATATTACAGACAACCGTACAAAGCATCATGTTAAAATAAAATAAAACCATTTGGGCTTTTTTAAATTTATAACCTTTATCGCCACTTTAATCTGTGCAAAAATTGTTCAAAGAGGCATGCAATAAAACATTAGAAGAAACATTCAGTAAAGCCATTTACTGAAATCAAATCATGCCAACATCTTAAAATCCAGCAACAGCAGAACACCAATGTGAAACAGACTGCAGCGCCCAAATTGCAGTGATTCTGTTTTCTTATTTACTTACAATATTCATATCCAATATTTGCTTCAAACAGTAATATTCAATCAACCCACAAAATAATAGGTGATCATATTGTTGCTGTGTGCCTTCAAGCCATTTCCAACTTATGGCAACCATAGTGTGAAACTATTATGGGTTTGTTTGTTTGTCAAGATTTGTTCAGAGAGGGATTGCCATGGCAGAACCATTAGCTTCTTTGAGCAGCCAATTTGATTCTAAAATGTAGGTATGTATTATAAATTAGTGTTCATGTTTTACCTATGCTGTGTGCCTTTTTCTTGCTGCATCAGCAATACATAGGATTTTGCTGTTGGAAATGACAGTCTTCTTCAAGCCTTCTCTAGTAATCTGTTTATCTATTATCCTGTTGCTTACTGTTTGTTCTGGTATGCAGCTTCTTTTATTCTATGGTTCCTGAGAAGTTATGAAAGGGGCTGCAAGCCACATGATCACTAGAGCAGACTGCAGACAGACAGACTGCATACTACTTCAGACTTCAGATCACACACTTGCTTGCTGTTTTGCTGTAAGAGATGTCCTGGCCGGATGGCGTAAATAATTATCTCAAACATATCTGAAACTGGACTGATAAGTTTTGTACCTCTGTATGCTGAACACATGAAGGTTGTGAGTAAACAATTTTTAATCAAAATATTATTTTTGTCTCCTGAGCGCATAATTTAAACCAGTTGTTCTATGGAAGAGTCATCTGTTAGCTCCAGCATCTCATGCGGGAACATGAGACATGCTTCTCACAGGGTGTTAAAACATCCAGGTGTCCCCTTGGCACTGTCCTTGCAGAAGGCCAATTCTCTCACACCAGAAATGACATGAAGTTGCTCCTGGCATGAAAAAAATGAGAGAGTATATACTTTTGGACACTGAAAAACACTTCTGAAATACTGTTGTTTTTATGTACTGACAAATCTCAGTTTTCCAACAGATCAGAGATAACAAGTTATTCAGTCTAACAACTGAAACCACTGCCTTGCATAATTATATCTGGTTGTATATCACAAGAGAAGATTCTACTGGAAAGGATTTTTGGCTCTTCTCTGAAAAGGCATGCTTTTCTAAAAGTTATGATCTCAAAAAGGTGTTTTCCCAAAAGGTTATAAATGCAATTTTCCAAAATTTGCAAGGAAATAAATTGATGATGATCACCATAATGATGAATCAATGGGAATCCCAGGGTTCTCCAGATGATTTTGGATTCTTATCTCCCATCAGCCCCAGCCACCATACACACTGGTCGGAGATTATTTGGATTATTTGTAGCTTGTCTGCAAGTCATTTCAGTCTTACTGTGATGCTAAAGCAGCCTTCCCCTAGAGTTTTCTTGGCAAGACTTACTTAGTGGAGATTTGGCATTGCTGAAACTGTGTGATTTGCTCAAGGTCACCCAGTCTTTGTTGTGGCTGACTCAAACCCTCTCCAGTTCAATGCTCAAACCACTATAATAGACTAACTCATTATCATGCATTAAGCTTCTTTCATTACATGGGATTTGTAGCCCAACAACATTTGCATGTTCCTAATTCTTACAACTGAGATGGGAAAAGTTCAATTCCTGCAGCCTCCCAAATCCACCAAAATATTTTCTAAAAGTTTGAGCAATTTTTCACTTGCAAAATGCTCAAAATGCGTTAAACCCATTGTAAAATATATCTGTTACCCCTCATCTCCTGCACATACACCCAAACAGCAAAGAACAGTAAAAATGGCTGAGAATCAGTTGAAAATGGAACAGGTACACTAGTACAACTTTCTGGAGGGAGATGGGGCACGAGGTGGAAAATTATTCATTTCCCTCCACAATCCACCCCCACTTTAATGGATAAACTAAGCACCAATTCTAGAGTCGGCTACCTCATTGATCATTTATTGATCTATACGCCATCAAAGTTCTCACCTTATTTTTACAGAAACAGAACTGAGTGTCAGCAATATTCTTATGACATCTTACCTCAAAACTTGGTTGACCTTTCTTGGTAGCCAATTCATAAAAACACAGAGTTGGAAGAGACCACAAGGATCATCCAGTCCAACCTCCTGCCATGCAGTGTCGTAAACCAAGGTGAATGGATGCAAAAGAACGTAATGTGATACACAGCAGCTGTCATGGCATGATTATTATTATTATTATTATTAACTTTATTTGTACCCCGCTAGCATCTCCCGTAGGACTCGAT